AAATTTCAAATTCAGCTTTCCAAGCATGTGGAGTACCCAAGTACGGATATGTGAAGGTTTTGGCGGAAAATTGCTAAATCGGTAACCAGAAAAGCTGGAAAATTGAAATTTTGAGGGGATTTTCCCCGTCCAAGTACAACTTAAATATTTCAAATTCAACCCTGAGGTATGCGTGGTTCTTGCGTACGGGCACTTAAACGTCCTGACGAAAAAATTTCTCACTGAATAACTAGGTTACTCTTAAAGAACGACTGTTAAATGGAAATTGTACATTTACTTTACGCATAATTTATGATGATTTGTGCTAGTGACCGCAAAGGGTAGTTATAAAGCAAGAGCCATTCATACAGTTAATGACCTGAGTAATTCAAGTCTGGTGCAAAAATGCATGATCGCGCGGGCCCGCCCGGAATGTTCCAGCCTGGGTTTTAATCATCCCTTCGAACAAAAATCCTTCACAGAAAAAATTTTTGATAAATTGATCAAAAGTTACCAGATTCAGTCAGTCAAAACTACAAGTTGAAGTATTCCTTGTTTTTCACCCGTGTTTTTCCCCTTACCTACTGTTTAAAACAAGTGTTGTTTCAGCAATTTACATTACGCAAATGAATATTTCTTTCATGTAAGCGAAAACAACAACCTCCTTCCTGTTTTGACTGTCGCTGTAGTGGACACCATCGCACTGGTGGTAAACTACCAAATAGAGTGAAAGACCGAAAATTTTCGTACTGGTTGCTCTGATCGTGAAATTACCGAGGTCATCCGGATGCGTTGTGTCCAGCTTGTTGTCAGGAAACTTAGCTTTAAAGACAATTGTTACATGCCAAAACCAACTCATCACTTCTACTGTCGAATCTCATTTGAAAAATTTTTTGAAACTTACTCTCTTCATTTAAAATGTAATGCGAGATAAATGTGAGCAGAGGCAGATTCTCGTTCCACAGCTCAATTGTTGCATTTCTGGGAACATCCTCACCGCAACGAAATCTTCCTTGGATTTCGACTGACTGATTCTTCATCGCCAGACATTTTCTGCTTGCTAATAGCAAAAGAGCCAACACCACAGCCAGCATTATTAGTCTAACGTGTGGTAGTAGCTGCGGCAAGTTACTCTTTCGTCAAAATTTAATGATTTATGATAATCATACACCTATAACTTATACAGAATCTATAAAAGAACGTCCAATCACATTAAAGTGGAAGAGAGAAGAAAGCGAATGAAGTACTTTTGGCAAAAACTTTTCATCTTTCTTAACCAAACTTTTCAAGGTGAGCTTGTTCTTTATCACATCCATCACATCAGTCTGTCATCAAAAAGAAACAGCATTTCTAGAGTATCCGTTCTAAATAATTTGTTTCTTCTGGTAAAAATGTCCCTGATGCAAAGAAATTGTACTAAGAGATGTAAGTGGCGATCACTTCAACCAACTTTTCGCTTCAGTGGTTCCACGCCTCCTTCCCTCATTTCCTCCCAATAATACCGGCAAAATTAGCAGAGATTCAGATATGAGCAGTCAGCAAATAATATCGCTGGTACTAGTACACCAAACGCTATAGAAAAAACGCTGTTCGCAATACACTGACTCTTCAGATTTTTATATCAGAAATTTATCGAACAAAAAGAAATCAGCGCAACGCGAAAAAAATTAATACTTCAAAGCAAGAAGAACTGCTATGATGTAAAAATACTGCTTAAGCAGTCACTGGTCTACGTAAGTATCGATAGGAAAGCATTAAAAAGGAGCAAATCGAGCTCCAGGTTGGCCAGTGATACAAAATGAGACTTTATAAAAAGTAGTGTCACAAAAACGGTATTATACATTACACAACAAAAAGAAATACAGTGCACAAAATTGAATCAAAAACCTTTGATTTTAAAAGTGCTAAAGGATCAGTTAAGTTCCTCGTTCCACCAATAGTTGCATTTATAAAATTTTTATGGACACACGAATTGCCTTTTTCCCAAGGTAAGTTGGAAAATATTTAGAAAAAATAACTAACTCCGAGTTGAAAGGAGTCTCAAAATGATCCAGTAGTAGCAAAATTTGAGACGAGGCGCTAGTGCTAGGAAACACAAAATACATCTCAGAATGACCAAAGCCTTACCATGTATTGCTATCAAGAGGATTTTTGAGCGGGTGGTTCTTCCAGGAAACCCGCGATGAACGTTAGGTTTGCCAACAGACTAGATAGCAGGCAATGAAAAATTGATTAAAGCGATTGGAAAAAGTTGCCAGATGTATAGTCGAGAAATCAGTCCATGAATTACGATGGGTTTGGAAATAGGATTCAAGCCTCTCAAATCATCTCATGCATGAAAAAAGTCTGAAATTCTAATTTGCTCTGCTTAGGAAATATTTTTGGTCTAAAGTTGGGTCGATAGCCGAAAACCGGTTCAAAGTCAGTTCTCAAGCGCCAGTTCAAAATTTCGGCTTCAGGCTGAAATTTCAAGCTGGCGTTTGAGATCTGACTTTGGTTTTCACAAATCACTGTAAAGATTTTGTCCTTCACCCTTCCGAACCCGGAGATAGTAGGGGCCTCGCTCTCAAAACTTAAATTATCAGCTCTCTTAGTTCTGGCAAGGCGCAGCAGTATGAAGGCGGATGAAGAAAACATACAAAAGCGACCTAAAAAAGCTTATAAAAAAAGCGAAACACTCTTCCAACTCACTGATAACCATCATCAAGAAGCAAACTGCTCGTACTGCTCATCCTGCAATTATCAAAAAAATAAAAGTTCCTTGCCATTAAAGCGTTTAGTGCACAGTAGGTAGTTAGCTGAAGCCAGACTTTCCATTCTGATAAGTGCCAGAAATGGTTAAGCTTCAGTGGTTAGGAAGAGGAACGCTAAAAAATTGCTGGAGTCATCCTTTGGAAGGAAAAAGGTGAACTGTATTGAGAGCTCAATTCGGGAACATTTTTAGAACCGATCGTAAATGCGTGAAAAGGCTCGTGTGATTTAACGCGAGAAAAGACATTTTTTGAAGAAAAAGTAATCATTGCATTTGGTGACTGTGGATCAATCAGATCAGGAAGCGTGTTTGGACCAGACCGACTAGTACTTTTCGGCTAAAAACCCTTACTTAGTAAATTACTGCACTTACTGTTTCTGGCAAAAGAAAATAGTAACCGCAGTAATTTGTCATTTGCTTCTCTTTATTTAAACCTGTCGCATATTTTTAGCTTTGTAAACGATACATGCTAAAATTAAATAAATGGCCAACGCACGGGCTGCCTGTGCGAAGATACGTTTTTTGCATAGCTCTTCGCAGATTTTTGGCACAAACGGCACTGGTTTTTTCTGGCAGATGCTTCTAGCTAAAAGAATTTCAGACTGGTCGCTAGGACTGTCAGGAAACATCCCTTCAAAATCCCAGTCTTCTAGCTTCTCACTTCCCCGAGTTAGCAACTTACCCGGAAGAAATTTTCAAGGGCCCGTACGTAGGTGCCACGCTTACCCGCGGGCAGGGTTTGAACACGTTAATACCTACTTGGACGGAGAACACTGCCCTAAGATTTCAGCCTTTTAGCTTCTCAGATCCCCGAGTTATGAAATTATCTCAAAAAAACTTTGGCGGGCCTGTACGCGGGTATCACGCGGGTGTTGACGCCCATTTTGGGGATTGGGGCCGGCACGTGCATGTAGATTAAATTCCCGAAATTTCAGCCCCGCAGCTTTTACAGGTCTTCAGATGAAAGTACGTGACAGACGCACATACAGCCATACAGGCACACGGACACAGACAACCCCTCGTCACTATGCGTTTTCTGCATTGCGTAGCTGCAAAAAAAGCATAAAAAGCTGATTGTATGTTGGCAATTCGTGCGAAGTTCGTGAATAAAC